TATATGACTGTTTAAACAGTGTTTAAACAGCCATAAGCCTGTTTATTCACAAAGGCTATAAATTATCTCGAAATGGGAATTCATCACCCTCCAAATACCTTGTTTTAACAGGCAGGCTGGCTCTCGGCTACAATGACAATAGCAAGAGACCTCCTGGCTGCTCTGCCAAGTCTCTGTCAAGGGCAAGTGTCCTTGCACGGGTGATTGCTGCCTTCCAGAGACCCAGGGTGGACTTCTCTTGGTGGATTTATCTGTTAGTGTCTCTGATGGATGGACCACGTCTCCCAGTTAACCTCTGCTTGCTGGGATTTGCTGGGAAACTAATGATCTGTCTGGTCCAGTATCTTCCAGGCTTTAGCAGTGGTTGTCTCCAAAAGCAAGGAGGAGAGGCTGATGTTAATCAAGGAGTGAGCTTGTCCTGGCTTTTCCTCCTCATCCCACTTGGTAATGGGTAAGTCTGGTTTTGGGGCTGGTAACAACAGAACCATCAATATCCTGCTCGACGTTAACTGGGGCTGTTTCCTTGACTCTTAGTTGTTCTGAGGCCTTGGACTTAGTAAGAATTTGTCTGAAAACACACAAACATCCCGATTTCACTATGCAAACTGTAATTTCCTTGTCAGATAACCAGGTAACTTCTCTCTCTAATGTCTGAGCTTGGAGATGTGACCGGTCAAGACGGATTAAAAGCCACCAGGGTGGTGGTTGGAAACACCCTGCCTTTTGCCCATAGGCTGGGGGTTTCCTTGTGGGTGCTGAGGACTTTTTTTCTCATTAGAAGAACACTCTCACACTCGTTAGAATGTGGTTTTAGCAGTGCAGGGCCCAGGTCTGAGCTGTGTTGATGGGGTTGACTCACTCTGGCAGGTTTGGTGGCCACCATTAATCATTTAACTTACCTGTTCTGGGCTGTGTAAGCTCTCTCCTCTGCAAATTCCTGGAACCACAAAAGCTGGAGATGGGAAAGATCTGAGCTCATCCAACTTCTCCATTTTTTTCCCCCCTATGGGGGAAGGCTTGTTCCCTACACTAGATTTTCCTGTACTGGGTCCAGTTTTAAGTGACTCAAGCAGCAGGGTTTTTCATGGTTTCCCTTGGGAGCCTGGCAGAGAGATGTTTTCCTAATCCTCCACCTGATGTGTTCCCCTCCTCCATTCCAGTCCTGTGAGTACAAAGCTCCAGTGGGTTAATGCTCATGAAATTACTCGAGTGCTGCTTAACTCCTTGATAAATATCCTGAATAAAAAGGTTTTGAAAGGAGGGTGTTACGGTGACACTTGAAAACTGACAAACATTGACGGTGTAGGTAGCGTGAGGACCAAGAGCTGTGGTCCTTTATAGGAGTTAAAGGTTTGTGGAAGGGTTTTGTGGGATTTTTTTTTCCTGCAAAGTATAAAGATCACCCCATAAATGTTAAACTAAATAGCTTGTGCCTAGAACTTAGTCAAGAAGCTTTGATTTTTCTTAAGGAGCTGAGGATTTTTCCCCTGGATTGCTTTCTTCGCTGGCCCTGCCTGTGCTGCCAACGCTCTGTAACCAGTAGCTGGACTCTTAATGATGAAGGAATTCTTAAAATATCGGCTGTTAAATAGATGGGTCGTGACAGGATAAAGCCATTTTCCATGAAAGATGAGTGGGATCAGACCTTGGATACGCTGTCGAGTGGGAGCCCGCACAAGAAGGGGGGAAATAAATGTTTAAAGCGTGGCCGAGCAAGGGAGAGAACTAGAAGATGGTCCAAGGGTCTACCACTAAGACAATCCCAGAATCTTCTAGGTTGGAAGGGACCTTAAAGACCATCTTGTCCAACCATCAACCTAACTTTGACAAAAATAGACACCCACACAACAAACAAGGAGCATCATCACTAAACCATACCTCCCAGCACTACATCAACCCATCTTTTGAACACCTCCATCCCTGGAGGTGATGGTGCCTCAACCACCTCCCTGAGAACCCTTTAGGTGAAAAAATGTTTCCTAATATCCAGCCTGAACCTCCCCTGGTGCAACTTGAGGCCATCCCAGAAATATTTAGGGCAGGGATGAGATTTGGTAGCCGTTAAGAGGTCCGTGGTAGTGTAATAATTCACGTGATGGGAAGCTTGGGCTTCTGTTGAGGGTCAGTTGGGAGCTCTGGTGGGTTCTTCAACTCTCATTCCCTGCCCTGGTTTGACCAGGCGTGGGGGGCGACGCTGGATTTGCCCCTCTTCTGGGGAGATGGGGTGGTTGATGGGTCTGTGCTCCCCTCATGGTCCCACCAACATCTGGGAGGAGCTGGTTTTCATGGGGAAGGGAGGTTTCTCCGCTCTGACCGTGGGGTGGGGGCCAAAGCCAAGGACCATGACTAACGGCAACGTGAAGAACCACCTTCCATGGGGCCTGATTCACCCTGTCCTTGCCCGGATTCGAGTCTTTCCTCCAGGAATGTTTGATGGTGCAGCACGAAGGGCTGAGATCACCCTCCTGGCAAGGCCCTGCTGCGGGGCGAGCCCCAGTCATCTGGCAGCGCGATGCTTACTGCCGTCTCCAAGGCAACCCTCCATGCTCCTCTTCTTCTTCTTGGGAAGCTTGCCGTGTTCCTGAAGAAGCCGTCATCCTTCTTACTGTAAGTGCAGCAGATGGGGAAAGATTTATTTATTTTTTTATTTTTTTTTTTTTCACCTTCCCCTGCCAATGAACTCTAGACCGGGACGCTGTTGTTCTGAGGAGCGACGTTGCCTTTGGGTGTTGCCTTTCCCAGCGTGTGCCACCAAAATGATGGGTCCCCAGGTGGATTTACCAGCCCTGCAGTTGTTTGTGTGTCCCCTGGTGGCTTTCTCTGGGCTTCTCCTGACCACACTTTCTCTGGGCTTCTCCTGAGCACACAAGGTGCTGGTTGTGTTGCTCTGGAGGAACATCCAGAACATCTCTGTTGTGGATGTTGAAGCTGGAAGTTTGAGATGGACAACTACCTGCCTCCAGTGTGGCTTAAAGTCCTCTGCACTGCCCTAGGAGGCTGTAATTTGGGTGGTGGTGGATATGTTGTCTTCTGACTAGTCCTAGGTGCTCCATGCTGGATGGAAATGAGCTCCACCATGCCAGAACTCAATCTGCAACTGCAAGGCTTGAAGCTTGTGTTCTGTCTCCTGCAGTGTCCTGAGAGGTTGTGCTTTACATTTCCTTTTCAGGTTCATCTATAGATAGGACAGAAGTCAGGGTCTGGTGTTCTCCCCTTGCTGAGGGCATTTGGCCTGAGGTAGGGCCAAAAAAAACCTGTTCTGTGTGTGAAAGAACCTCCCTGGTAGATAGAAACCTAAGACTAGAGGACTCTGTCCAGTTTTATTTGCTTAAAAATGGGCATTTAATGTACCTTCTTGATTTTTAGGCTCATCAGTGAGTAGTGAGAGACTCCTACCTCGTTGGAGAAAGCTGGAGCCACTGTCTTGGAGCAGCTGGACTCCAAGGAGGTGATGGTAAGAAGGGTCTCGTGTTCCCCGTGGGTGACAGCGATGCTCCTGAGTTATAAAAGCTGCTGTCACTCTTGTCCCCTGCTGTGAGCCCTGGGAGGGAAATGCCAGCCTGTGTGCCACCAGGAGCTTTCCAGGAACTCACCAGCAGCTGCCACCTCTGAAAATAGTGTCACTTGATGGCTCCTGAGGGGTGGAGGGGACAAAAAAGGTGTTCCCCCCCGTGCTGGTGAGACGGGAGCTGCTTTGCCCAATTTATCCAGGATCTGGGCCTGGGGAGGGATGACCCCCCCCAGTTTAGCAGCACAATCCAGACTGGAGTCACTGGGCAGAGAAAACAAGCAGGGCTGAGGCATTCAGCACTTAGAGTGAGCCTTTGGCCACGATAAGATAAGGCTTTGAGTAACTGCGAGGTAGAAAGTCTGCCTGGTGCATTGAGATCATGGCTGTTGGAGGATGTTGTGGAGACAATCCACTTAAAGCTTGGCTGCTGCGCTGGATTTAATATTGTTTTCTTTCTTTTTTTTTCTTCTTTTCCCTGCTCAGGTCCCTGCCAGCGAGCTGGGGAGCCCGTGTGAGAACCAAATCAGCAGAGGGAGAGTGGCTCAGACGTGATTGCCAAGCCCTGACACGAGTGGGGATTTGAAGGCTGGAGATAACTCGCTGCTTCTGTGCTCGCAAGCCCTAAAATGGTTGGGAGGAAGGAGCCTGGGTAGGTCATGAGGGATGTTGGGGGCTGTGCAGCTGCCTTTTTTTTATCTAATTGCTTTTTTTCAGAGCTCAGAAGTGTTGGGGACAGGCTGGCACTGCTTTACTGGTGGGCAGGCACGTGTGTTGGTGCAAAAGGCTGTCGTCTCCCAGATAAGACAAGCCCTAAAATGTCTCTAAAGTGGTTTTTTTTCCCCCCTCCTTTCAGCTCTGTTTGGGTTTCCTGTGCACGTGTGGGGCAAGAAGGAAGGGAGGTGTCCCCTAAACCTTGAAGTTGGAGTGAGCCAACACCTGGTGTGATGGATTTAAAGGAGGATGTGACCCTGCGTGGGGAGATGTAGGTGGTGGGGGGCTGGTTTCTGTGGACACAAAGGAGATCTGCTGGTAGAAGGACCAGCCAAGGGAGCTGGGGACGCCTGGGGCCAGCCCAGCAGAAAGAGGGGAGGCCACGTTGGAAGGAGAGATGGTGGCAGAGATTTGGGGCCAGGAAGGTGCCATGGAGTGACTTGTGGAGTGAGGTGTGGCTGCTGTGACCATCGATGGTGGCCAGGGGGACACAAAGAGAGGGTTTCTGTACCCAGGGCATCTCTGCTGGTGCCTCTCTGAGCAAGACCCAGCCTTAATGCCCCGTCTGGAGAAAATGGAAAGCTTTTGGGTGGAAAAGAGTAGGAGGAAAGCACTTCGTGTGCCCTGGGTTAAATCCTCTTTGGATCCGAAAGGGTTTTCTTTTAGGCACCCAAGACTTGTGGGGGTGTGAAATGGCCTGGAATGGGATGTGGCACCCAAAAGAGTGGGGCTGAGGAGCAGGATGGTCTGTATCTCAGGGGAAGGAGGCAGAGCCCTGGCCATGGATGGATGTCCCATCCCTGGAGGGGTTCAAGGGCAGGTTGGAGGGGGCTTGGAGCAGCCTGGTGTGGTGGGAGGTGTCCCTGCCCAGGGCAGGGGGGTGGAACTTGATGATCATCCAACTCCAGGCTGTGTGAGAAGGATTTCCAAGCTGTCGTGTGGGATGTTTTCCTTTTGATTCAGCAGCTGTAATTCCTCCCAAAGACCTGCCAGGCTTTTCCTGGTGGTTTGCCTCCTCTAGGTCATCCCTTCCCGGTCAGGGACGGGCCTGGGTTCACTTCCAGGGGACACAACCTTTCCTTTACCCCCCCTTTACCCCTCCCATGGGCATCCCCAAAGCTCCCAGCTTTTGGGAAATCCCGTGAAATCCTCTGGGCTCCTTGTTCCCTGACCCTGTTCTTTGTGTTCCCTTCCTGGGGGGAGAGGTTGCCCCCGACGATGGCGCTGGGTTCCCCAAATCTCTTTACTTTTCTCACAGTTTCTAAGGCGACCGAGACGCAAATGTCAGACCCTCTTATATTTTTGTGTGCCTGGGGGGGTGGGGGGGGACCAAGTCTGACTCTGCTCCAACCTCCCAGCCCCTCCCTGGGTTGTGCAAACCCCTCGTGTGGCCACTTTTCTTTCGCTGTGGCTTTTAACAGTTCCCATCCCCAGTTTAGCAGCTTTTCACCCTCCTTGCAGGCTCCCAGTACAAACTGGGAGAAGACTCTGAGAAGACTCTTTCCTCTGCCTCCGAGGGCAGAGTTAGAGGGGGAATAGCTTTTGGGGGGTGGAATAAAAAATCCAGTCCCCATCAGCAAAGTGATGAACTCTGCTCTGGGGAGACCTCCCCTGTGGTGCTGCCTCCAGCTCTGGGGGTGCCCAATATCAGAAGGATGTGGAACCTCTTGGAGGTGGTCACGGAGATGCTGGGAGGGCTGGAGGACAGGTGAGAGAGTTTGGGAGGTTCAGAGAAGGCTCCAGGGAGACCTTGGAGCCCCTTCCAGTCCCTCATGGGGCTCCAGGAGAGATGGGGAGGGACTCTGGATCAGGGAGGGGAGTGATAAGACCAGATGAAAGGGTTGGACACTGAAAGAGGGGAGATGGAGATGAGATGTGGGGAAGAACTTCTTTGCTGTGAGGGTGGGGAGAGCCTGGAATAGAAGCTGTGGCTGCCCCATCCCTGGAGGGGTTCAAGGGCAGGTTGGAGGGGGCTTGGAGCAACCTGGTCTGGTGGGAGGTGTCCCTGCCCAGGGCAGGGGGTGGAACGAGGTGGTCTTCCAACTCTAACCATCCTATGATTCTATGAACCCTCAGACTTGGACTTTTAACCCGAGGGATGGGACTTTCCAGGCTGATTCAGAGCTTTTTTTTCTTTTTTTTTCCTTTTTTTCCCCCCCAAACTGCTTCGTTGGGGCACCTGGCAGGCAAGGCCAGTTCTCCATCCACCCACCCCTGCCCACGCTTGTTTCCCTTCCCTGCCCACTCCTTCCTTCTTTTCTCCTCTTGGCTCCTTCCAGGGCTTGTCCCTTCCCTGGGCCTTCCTCCTGGTGATGCTTCAGGAGCCCTTGTGCCTTGGGCGAGAGAGACATCTAGTGGGGTTGGAGCTCAGGGAATGGGCTGGTTTTGTTGTTTGGGTTTTTTTTTTTAATATTCTTGCATATTTAATTATTTATTTTTAATTCTTATGAAGGGCTGGTCTCTGTGGAAGCAGGAGCTGAGGCTTTTTTTTTCCTTTTTTTCCCCCCCAAACTGCTTCGTTGGGGCACCTGGCAGGCAAGGCCAGTTCTCCATCCACCCACCCCTGCCCACGCTTGTTTCCCTTCCCTGCCCACTCCTTCCTTCTTTTCTCCTCTTGGCTCCTTCCAGGGCTTGTCCCTTCCCTGGGCCTTCCTCCTGGTGATGCTTCAGGAGCCCTTGTGCCTTGGGCGAGAGAGACATCTAGTGGGGTTGGAGCTCAGGGAATGGGCTGGTTTTGTTGTTTGGGTTTTTTTTTTTAATATTCTTGCATATTTAATTATTTATTTTTAATTCTTATGAAGGGCTGGTCTCTGTGGAAGCAGGAGCTGAGGTTTCTGACCAGTCCTGCTGTGTTGATGGCCCTGGGGTGAAGTAGACCTTTGGTGGGCCCAGTTTGTGGGGTGTTTCTCTCTTGGTTGGGGCTCTTGGTTCCCTTGACGCTCTCTGGAGGTGGCTCCTCTCCAACGAGGAGGTGTTTTTCTATCCTAATCTGGTGTGGTGGACCCTTGGGGGTCATCACCTGGGTGATGGTGGGCATGAAAGCTGGGCCAGGAGGAATCCAAAGGAGGTATCTCACGGCAAGGTTTTGGGGTCATCATGGAAATGCCAGTTTCCAGGGGGAATTGTGCTCCCTCTTTCTCTGTAGGAGAGAAATACTCCAGAGCAGGTTCTCCTCAAACCCCAGGGGTGGATTTAAGGGCACTGGCAAGGAGAAGGTGACACTGGAGTTGGAGCTGAGCTCAGCTCTTCTTCTCGGTTCCTCTCCCAACCGCTTCTTCCGTATCCCCTTCCCCAAACTGGAGCCCAGTGTCCAAAGGAAAAAAGGCTTTTAAGAAATTCTGACTCTGGCTGATTTTGGGGGAGAAACGCAGCAAGAAGCAGTTGGGGTCTGTGATGTTCCTCACCCAGAGGTGTTTCCCCACTCCCAGAAGTGCCAGCCCTTGGGTTGAAGTGCAGAACTTCACGTCCCCCCCCAGGCTGCCCCCAGCTGGTTCCTGGTGCCAAAATGCCTTTGAGGCAGAGGTGGCCTTTGCTGGACCTTCTCCCAAAGGGTTTCAGGGAGAAGAAACCTTTTTCTCTCCCTACTTGAGGTGCTGAGAATTCAGCCAGAGCTAATTTGAAGGTTTGAAGCACAGAATTTCACGTTCCCCCCCCCAGGCTGCCCCCAGCTGGTTCCTGGTGCCAAAATGCCTTTGAGGCAGAGGTGGCCTTTGCTGGACCTTCTCCCAAAGGGTTTCAGGGAGAAGAAACCTTTTTCTCTCCCTATTTGAGGTGCTGAGAATTCAGCCAGAGCTGCGGGGCTGCCCTGGGGCCCGGCCTGGCCCTGCTCCAGGTCCACCCAGGGACCAACCCCAGCAGATCCTTCCTGTTCTGCTGCTTCAGGGTTGTGCAAGCCCAGGTGGAAAAGTGTTTCTCAACCCTTGTTTCTCTCTGGAGCCACCTGAGCCCCAAACTCCTGGGTGATACCACCAGCCATTGGTGCCTCTGAAGCTTCAAAGCAACCAAAAATCCTTCTTTTTACGACAGAATGAAGCTGGACTTTGCTTGGATGGTGGAAAAGGTTTAAGTTTAGGGGTTTTTTCCTGTTTTTTTTTTTCCTCAGGGGGTGTTTGCCTGCCCTTGGGGGGAAGCAGAGCATGGAAAGCAGAAGAGCTCGGCGTGGTGTGAGTGCTGGGCTGTTGGGGGGAATCCTACAGGTTTTTCCAGGTGGGAAACAGCCTCAAGAACCACTTAATGGGATCCTGAGGATCTCCCTGGGCTCTGGATGTTTTTTTAGGGATGCTCAGAACATCCACGTGGAGCTGGATTAGTTTACTCTTAAATTAGGGCTGTAGGTTTCCTGGGTGAGGAACTTTTACACAGAAGCTCAAGAAGAACGGCGCAGGCAGAGTATTAGAAAATATTTCAGTTTATTTAGAGCGTTTCCACTTCATATAGAGTTTTACAAAACAATTTATTTACAGGCAGGGAAAGGGGATAACTGAACTCAAAGGGCTCCTGGGGGACAAGGAAGGGGCTACATAGGACAAAAAAAAAATAATAATCAAATCAGCACATTCACAAGTCACGTCGTTTCCTTTTTTCTTTACAAAAATAAGAAAGGTTTAAGGCTGGTGTGTTTGTGGTGGTGGTGGTGGTGTGCTCTGGGGTGGGGGTCAATGCCACCCTGCCGAGGAAGAGGATGTCACAGCACAAACCCTCCCACAGCTGGAGCTCAGGAGAACCCCCATGTAGTGTTGAAGGCACCGTGTGGTGATGCCAAGGGCCCAGATCTCCAAGGTGGACACCCGTTTCCCTGGGGGTGAGCGAGCCAAATGTCTCCTTCAACCACTTGGCGTGACCAGGAGACAAGTTCAGCCCAAGGAGGAAGACCACGGCGTGGGACACCACCCCGGGAGGAAGAGGATGTCACAGCACAACCCTCCTGCAGCTGGAGAACCCCATGTAGTGTTGAAGGCACCATGTGGTGATGCCAAGGGCCCAGGTCTCCAAGGTGGACACCCTTTTCCCTGGGGGTGAGTGAGCCAAATGTCTCCTTCAACCACTCGGCGTGACCAGGAGACAAGTTCAGCCCAAGGAGGAAGACCACGGCGTGGGACACCACCCCGGGAGGAAGAGGATGTCACAGCACAACCCTCCTGCAGCTGGAGAACCCCATGTAGTGTTGAAGGCACCATGTGGTGATGCCAAGGGCCCAGGTCTCCAAGGTGGACACCCTTTTCCCTGGGGGTGAGTGAGCCAAATGTCTCCTTCAACCACTCGGCGTGACCAGGAGACAAGTTCAGCCCAAGGAGGAAGACCACGGCGTGGGACACCACCCCGGGAGGGATCCCTCAGCAGATCCCCCCCCAAACCATGGTAAGAACTTCTCCTCCTCCCCCCAGGACCGAGCAGCAGACACGGGGGTGCAGGTGGCAGTTTGAAAACAAACGAAGGAGAGAAAATATATCCTAAAGGTTTGGTTTTGAACCCGTCCGATAACGTTCGCCTCTGAAACACAAAGTGTTTGTCTCCTTTTTTTTTTAAAAATTTTCTAAGTTTACTATTTAGATATATATAAAATCTACCTTGACTGACTGCTCCATCCCGGGAGCTGATTCCTAAGTTGGGAATTCCAATTCCTAACCCAAACCCTGGGCTCCGACTGTCGGTGGTGGTGGTGACCCCCAGAGTCCCGGGCGCTGGCGAGGTAGAGGGAGGGTTGAAGTTCACAGTAGAAGCTGTGACACCACCGAAGTGTCCCAGCTGGAGGGTGTTGTGTCCCCGTGTCCCCTCTCAGAGCCCTGTCTGCTCCAGGATCCAGTCCCTCAGGCTGGTGAGGCGGGTGTAGACCCCGGGTTTGTTCCTCTGGGCGCAGCCCTCGCCCCAACTCACCACCCCGGCCAGGAACATGCGGCTGCTGGGCTCCACGCTCACCAGGGGACCTCCAGAGTCTCCCTGCACCAAGAAAAGAGGCATAAGCACCCACCCCCTACATTAGCCTTACACTAATTGATTAACGAGGAGGAAAAAAAAAAAAATCACAGTAATTAACTATTAAAATCAGCTGTTAGAACCATGGAATTGTCCAGGTTGGAAGGGACCTTTCAGATCATCAAGTCCAACCATCAACCCAACAGCAACAAAAAAACCCCAATAAACCATATCTCTAAGCACCACATCTACCCATCTTTTAAATCCCTCCAGGGATGGTGACCCCACCCCTGCCCTGGGCAGCCTCTTCCAAGGCTCAATAACCTTCCAGTGAAGAAATTTTTTTTCCCAATATCCATCCCAAACCTCTCCTGGGGCAACTTGAGGCCATTTCTTCTTGTCCCATCACCTGTTCCTTGGGGAGAAGAGACCAACCCCCCCTGGCTACACCCTCCTTTCGGGGAGTTGGAGAGAGCTGTTCACACCCAAGCACCTGCCCTGAGAAAATAAATCACTGCAATTCACAACTGTGATTGATTCTCTCTCTCCAAATCAGCAGTCTGAGCAATTTCCTGCCCATTCCCTAAATAAATAGTTGGTTTTGATAATTAAAAAAAACCCCAATCATATATAAGTAGGGCAACGAGAGCCACGGCAGCAGAATAAAGAGCTAAATAACTGCCTTGTCTCACTCCCTAAAGCTCTCAGACACTGAGTGGAGTGTGGTCGTGCTCTCTTACCTGCAGAGATGATTTTTTTGAGTCTAAGTTGTGTTTTTTTGGGGAGGAGGGTTGAAGTTTTTGAGACTAAGTTGTGCGTTGACAGGATTTACTGCTCAGGTCCCTTTGATTTGGGGTGGGTGTGTGTGTGTGTGTGTGTGTAAATCGCCGGAATATAAAAAAAAGGGGAAAATGGGCCCCCGATTTGGGGTGTGTGTGTGTGTGTAAATCACCGGAATATAAAAAAAAGGGGGAAAAGGGGCCCCGCTTGGCTACCTAGGCCTTGCCCCGTGGCTACCACCACCAGGGCAAGAGGTTGCCCTTACCTGGCAGGCGTCCACGCCGCCCGTGAGGACGCCCACACACATCATGCGGGGGGTGAGCTGGTCTGTCAGCAGCTGGTTACACACCGTCTGGTTGATGAGCCGGATCTCTGCCTTCTGCAGGACGGAGGCTTCGCTGCCTGGCAGGGAGAAACAGGGGTGTCGAGGCAAAGCAAACCACAGTTTGGGTTTTTTTTTTAAGCAGCAACTCCTAACCCCTCCCTACACTTCGTTTGGGCTCTGAAGAACCAATTAATTACCTGGTAAAATCCCCCTCGTAACAACACGCTTTTTCCTACTACTACTTTTTCCAGCAAGACCAAGACTTCCCGAGGGAATCGCACTCAATTCCAGTCTCCAGCCAGCCTAATCCATTTATGGATTAATAAATCCATTAAATTCATCCATAAATTTATCCACGGATAGAATCCTATCCACATCCACAGATGATATTAATTTCAATCATGCCCAGCCAGCCTCCTTTCACCCTAAAGCCACATGAAAATCACAGTTCAGGTGGGAAAGGACCTTCAAGATCACAGAATCACAGAATCTTAGTGGTTGGAAGGGACCTCTGAGATCATCGAGTCCAACCACAAAAAAAAAAAAAAAAAAAAAAAAAAAAAAAAAAAAAAAAAAACACAAAAAAAAAAAAAACACAAAAAAAAAAAACAACAAAAAAAAAAAAAAAAAAAAAAAAAAAAAAAAAGCCCTGAAGAGCCATGTCTACACGTTTCTTCAATCCCTCCAGGGATGGTGACTCCACCACCTCCCTGGGCAGGCTGTTCCAGGGCCTGACCACTCTCTCAGGAAAGTCATTCTTTCTAATATCTAATCTAAATCTCCCCTGCCCCAACTTCAGACCATTTCCTCTGGTCTTGTCGTTCGTCCTTTGGGAGAAGAGGCCAACACCTGCCTCTCTACAACCTCCTTTCAGGGAGTTGTAGAGGGCAATGAGGTCTCCCCTCAGCCTCCTCTTCTCCAAACTAAACATGCCCAGTATCATCTCATTCCACCCCCTGCCTTGGGTATGGAGACCTCCCACCACCCCAGGTTGCTCCAAGCTGCCCTTGAACCATCGCCACGACCCCAAATTCACCAAAACTCACCTCCTTCAGCGGTGGCTCCCCACCCCGTGACCCACAGGTCCTTGCCCACAGGGAAGCTGTGGGTGGGGTCGGGCAGGCAGATGGGTTGGACGACGGAGGAGAAGGTGACGGGGCTCTGCAGCTCCAGCACGGCGATGTCGTAGTCGTAGGTGTAGTCGTTGAAGTAGGGGTGGGAGATGATGCGCTTGATCCTCCGCGTCTGCACCTTGGGGTCGTTGCGGTTGCCTTGGTCGGTCAGGCCCAGGTAGGCTGTCCACAGGTTGGCATCCGAGTACCTGCAGGAGGCAAGAAACCCCATTTCCTTCAGAAACCCCATTTTTTTTCATATTGAGAATAAAGCCTGGAAAGGGAAACGTGGTCCCACCTACCTGATGCCCTGCAGCTGCAGGAAGCAGTGGGCAGCAGACACCAGCCAGGTCTCGGACACCAGGGAGGCCCCACAGATGTGGCCCTGGCCCTTGACGTGGAGACTGACTTGCCAGGGCCACTCTCCCACCTCCGAGTCCTGGCCCCCCACGATCCGTGACTTCCTGGTGTAGGAGCGTGTCCCGCAGTCTGGGAAGGGAGGGAGAAATCATGGAATCAGGGAAATGTTGGAGTTGGAAGGGACCTTCTAGAGATCCTCCAGTCCATCCCCTTGCCCTGATGAAAGCACATCACTCAGGATCCCATCCAGGTGGGGCTTGAAGATCTCCAGAGAAGGGGACTCCACACCCTCCCTGGGCAGCCTGTCCCAGGGCTCTGCCACCCTCACCCCAAAGAAGTTCTTCCTCACATTGGAGTGGAACTTCCCATGGTCCAGCTTGTGCCCGTTGCCCCTCGTCCTGTCACTGGGAACCACTGAAAAGACTCTGGTTCCCTCCTCCTTCAACCCTCCCTTGAGATACTTGTAGGCATTGATAAGGTCTCCCCTCAGCCTTCTCTTCTCCAGGCTCAAGAGTCCCAGCTCTCTCAGTCTTTCCTCATCAGGGAGATGCTCCAATCCCTCCATCATCTCTGTTGCCCTTTGCTGGACTCTCTCCAGCAGTTCCCTGTCCCTCTTGAACTGGGGAGCCCAGAACTGGAGGCAGGATTCCAGTTGTGGCCTCCCCAGTGCAGAGCAGAGGGGGAGAATGACCTCCCTCCACCTCCTGGCCACACTCTTCCCTACACAGCCCAGGATCCCATTGACCTCTTGGCCACAAGGGGCCATTGCTGGCTCCTGGACAATTTACTATCTACCAGGACCCCCAGATCACACAGAGAAACCCACAGGTTCTCCCCACCCAGCACTTAAACATCTTTCTAAGTGTCCCCAGCCCAGAAACCCCTGTCCCCCCCACCCTTTTCCCCCGGGGCACTCACTGCAGTTGTCCTCGTCGGAGTTGTCCTCGCAGTCCCGCTCCCCGTCGCACTCCGGGTTCTGTTTCCCGATGCAGCGCCCGTTGCGGCACTTGTAGGTGTGGTCCTTGCAGGGGACGGCTGCGGGCACTGCCACGGGTCAGGACCAAGGGAGAGAATCACAGAATGATATGGGGTTGGAAGGGACCTCTGCAGATCATCCAGTCCAACCCCCTGCCAGAGCAGGGCCACCCAGAGCAGGTCCCACAGGAACGTGGCCAGGTGGGGTTTGAATGTCTCCAGAGAAGGAGACTCCACCACCTCCCTGGGCAGCCTCTGCCAGGGCTCTGCCACCCTCACAGCAAAGAAGTTCCTCCTCATGTTCAGGTGGAACTTCTTATGTTCAGGTTTGTGCCCATTTCCTCTTGTCCTGTCCCTGGGCACCACTGAAAAAAGCCTGGCCCCATCCTCCTGACACCCGCCCTTCAAGTATTTATAGGTGTTGATCAGATCCCCCCTCAGCCTTCTCTTCTCCAGGCTGAAAAGACCCAAGTCCCTCAGCATCTCCTCATAAGGAGATGCTCCAGGCCCCTCACCATCTCTGTACCCTCTGCTGTCCCCTCTCCAGCAGTTCCCTGTCCTTCTGGAACTGGGGAGCCCAGAACTGGTCCCAGTGCTCCAGCTGGGGCCTCCCCAGGGCAGAGCAGAGGGGCAGGATGACCTCCCTCCACCTGCTGCTCACCCTCTTCCTGATGCCCCCCAGGATGCCCTTGGCCTTCTTGGCCACCAGGGCCCATTGCTGGCTCCTGGGCATCCTCTTGTCCACCAGGACTCCCAGGTCTTTCTCCTTAGAGCTGACCTTCCAGGAGGTCACACCACCCAGGAGCCCTTCACCTCTTCTGCAAGTCCCCAGGATGTTCCACAAGTCACCCTGTGAAAGAGAAGCCAACCCTGGCCTCCAGGAGGTCCCTCCTCACCGTTGCTGCAGCTGCCCTCGTCGCTCCCGTCCCCGCAGTCGTCCTTCCCGTCACATTTCCGGGCCTCGGGGACGCACTTCCCGTTGCTGCACTTGAAGCTGTCGGCGGCGCAGCCTGGGGAGAGAGAGAGCAGCTCCCTGAGGGACAGCAGGAGCACAGATCCCACCCACCTCCATCCCAGAACCACACAACCTTCATGGTTGGAAGGGACCTTTGCGATCCCCGAGTCCAACCACACACACACAAAAGACCCCCCACCATCCCGGGCACTAGAGCATGCCCTGAAGTGCCACCTCTACACGGTTCTTCAGTCCCTCCAGGGATGGTGACTCCACCACCTCCCTGGGCAGGCTGTTCCAGGGCCTGACCACCCTCTCAGGAAGGTCATTCTTCCCAATATCTCATCTAAACCTCTCCTGCCCCAACTCCAGACCATTATTCCCTTGGGAGAAGAGGCCAACCCCCACCTCTCTACACCCTCCTTTCAGGGAGTTGTAGAGGACAATGAGGTCTCCCCTCAGCCTCCTCTTCTCCAAATTCAACATGCCCAGTTCCCTCAACCTCTCCTTGCATGACTTGTTCTCCAGACCCCTCCCCAGCTTGGTGGCTCTCCTCTGGACACGCTCCAGCACCTCAATGTCCTTCCAGAACTGAACCCAGCCCTCGAGGTGAGGCCTCATCAGTGCCCAGTCCAGAGGCACCATCACTGCCCTGCTCCTGCTGGCCACGCTAGTCCTCATCCAGGCCAGGATGGTGGTGGTTCTTGGCCACCTGGGCACACTGCTGGCTCCTATTCACCCAGAAGGGTGTTGGTAGCCATCCTTTTCCTTTTCTGCTGTCCTTTTCTCCTGCCCCCCGAGACAAGCAAAGCCTCTGGGGCTACACCACACAACACCCCCATGTCCTGCATCTCGGGTCTTCCCTTAACTGGACACCACCACTCATTTATGCAGCCTTTTCTTCCCCAAAACCCCACATTTCCTCCACTTCTGCTCATCCTTGGTTTTCTGATCAATGCTTATAAATATTTAAAGGATGGGTGTCAGGAGGATGGGGCCAGGCTTTTTTCAGTGGTGCCCAGGGACAGGACAAGAGAAAATGGGCACAAACTTGAGTATAAGAAGTTCCACCTAAACATGAGGAGGAACTTCTTAACTTTGAGGGTGGCAGAGCCCTGGCAGAGGCTGCCCAGGGAGGTGGTGGAGTCTCCTTCTCTGGAGACATTCAAACCCCACCTGGACCTGTGGGACCTGCTCTGGGTGGCCCTGCTCTGGTAGGGGGTTGGACTAGATGATCTCCAGAGGTTCCTTCCAACCCCGTGGGATTCTATGTGTGATTCCTCCTCTCCAGCTGGCTGGTATTTTGGGTTTCTTGCCCTTCCCCATCGCCCCCCTTCCCCTCGGTGCCCATCACTCACTGCACTGCAGCTCGTCGCTGTTGTCCCCGCAGTCGTTGACGTTGTCACACACCCAGAACTTGGGCTTGCACCAACCATTCTGGCACTTGAACTGCTGCTCAGTGCAGGCTGGGAAAGGGAGAGAGGAAGAGAGAGAAAATCAGGGGGGGAGAGACCTCCAAAGACACCAGTGGAGTCATCACCAGTGACCCCCCACCACCACCGCATCCATCGTGGCGTCAGGGGAACACCCCTCCTGGGAAGAAGATCTCAAACCATCTATGGTTGGATGGATGGATCCCATCCATCTAATTAACCACAGACCCTGGACAACAGTTCTGCTAATCCAAGAGGAAAACGTGGTCCCCAAACGGATCCCCACGCCGGGTGCCCCTCGCCCCAGCCCGGAGGAGGGAGGTGAGGTGCAGAACCTCATCACCGGGGGGTTTGCTGCCCAGAGGAGATACCCGTGGCCACCTTGGGGCCACCTTGGGACACAAAAAAGAAGGTTGGACTCACTGCAGGATCTCTCATCGCTGCCGTCCACGCAGTCCAGCCACCCGTCGCAGCGCATGCTGCGGTCGATGCAGCGCCCGGTGTTGCAGGTGAACTTGCCAGGGCAGGCTGAGAGATGGAGGAAAAAAAGAGGAAAAAAAGGGATAAAATAACTTATAAACCTTCCAGCCACCCCCTCTGTGTCCCATCCTCAAAGCACACAACGCTCCCTGCACCTCCTACACCATCCAGCTTTAAAAATACACCTTCTCAAAGTGGAGGAGGAACATCTCTGTCCCATCCTCGAAGCACACAACGCTCCCTGTGCCTCTTACACCATCCAGCTTTAAAATACACCTTCTCAAAGTGGAGGAGGAACAGAAGGAGGTTTGGAGGACAATAAAACATCTTCTAACCCCTCAAGAAATTGCCCTTCCCGATTGAGGTGGCAGAACAAGCAGAGAGGAGGGAGAACCTCCAAGACCTCGGGCAAGACCTCCAAGACCTCCCTTCCCCACCCAGAGCCTCAGGGATTCAACTCACGGTCGCTGGAGTCGTAGGACAGGAACTCAGCAGAGAAGCCACTGTCCGTGTGGGAATGGTCAGAGTGGAACTGGACCTCTATTCTGTTGGTGGTGCTGGCCACCACAAACTGGGAACGCTCCCCACAGTACCTGCGGGGAGAGAGGGGAAAGAGGATGGGTCCAAGGTGAAGGTCAAGACTTGGCAAATGGTTTTCCACCCAGAGAAAAGGTCTGATTCCTGCTGGGTTTCAAGGTCTGCAACTCAGGAGATGAAATTTCCTCCCGTTGGCAGAATCATAGAAAGGTTTGGGTTGGAAGGGACCTTCAAGATTATCCAGTTCCAACTCTCTGCCCTGGGCAGGGACACCTCCCACCACACCAGGTTGCTCCAAGCCCCCTCCAACCTGCCCTTGAACCCCTCCAGGGATGGGGCAGCCACAGCTTCTCGGGGCAACCTGGGCCAGGCTCTCCCCACCCTCACACCAAACAAGTTCTTCCCCACATCTCATCTCCATCTCCATCTCCATCTCCCCTCTTTCAGTGTCAAACCCTTCCCCCTCCTCCTAGGGCTCCCTTCCCTGATCCAGAGTCCCTCCCCATCTCTCCTGGAGCCCCCTTGAGGGACTGGAAGGGGCTCCAAGGTCTCCCCGGAGCCCTCTCTTCTCCAGGCTGAACCCCCCCAACTCTCTCAGCCTGTCCTCCAGCCCTCCCAGCATCTCCATGGCCTCCTCTGGCCCCACCAACAGGTCCATGTTCCTTCTACTTTGGTGGCCCCAGAGCTGGAGGCAGCACTGGGGGCTGGGGGTGTCCCCAGAGCAGAGCAGAGGGGCAGAATCACCTCCCTTGAGGTCCGGGCCAGCTACAAACACCAAGTTGTGACCTTGGAAAGGATTGGGAGAGAGTTCCTCCAAATCCCTGCCTGACCACTCCCCATTCAGCAGCACCAGGTTGTCTTTTTGGCCCAGCTTACCCGGGGTTGTGCAATAACACACAGTAAATGTAACAGCCAATGCATGGTAGAACCCAAGGCCATCACCCAAGACGATGGGGATCTGCTCATTCAAGCAAACCCACGCCAGATGTTCCTCCCTTTCTGCTCCCCAGGCACGTGACACGATGCTCCACAGCATTTTTTTGGGGGGGAGATTGGCTGCAGCAGGCACCAAATCCAAGGGTTAATCCCCAAAACCAAGCGCGCTGCTCCCCTCTCACCATGGGAGCAGGTCAGACCCACGCACCCTCCCACCCAAAAAAACCCCAGCAGGTTTGTCCCCACGATGAATTTAAGGGAAGCACAAGGTGCCACATAAGGCAAGGAAGAACCTCATGAGGTTCAACAGGGAAAAGTGCAGGGTCCTGCACCTGGGGAAGAAAAATGTCAGGTACCAGTACAGGTTAGGGGTGGACCTGCTGGAGGCAACTACTGAAGAGAAAGATCTAGGGGTCCTGGTGGACAGTAAAGTGACAATGAGCAAACAGTGTGCTCTTGTGGCCAGGAAGGCCCATGGTATCTTGGGTTGCATAGGGAAGAGTGTGGCCAGCAGGTCAAGGGAAGTCATTCTCCCCCTCTGCTCTGCACTGGGGAGGCCACAACTGGAATACTGCGTCCAGTTCTGGGCTCCCCAGTTCAAGAGGGACAGGGAGCTACTGGAGAGACTGAGAGAGCTGGGACTCTTTAGTCTGGAGAAGAGAAGGCTGAGGGGAGACCTTCTCAATGCTGACAAGTATCTCAAGGGAGGGTTGAAGGAGGAGGGAGCCAGACTCTTTTCAGTGGTTCCCACCGAGAGGACGAGGGGCAACGGGCACAAGTTGGAACAGAAGAGGTTCCACTCAAATATGAGGAGAAACTTCTTCACGGTGAGGGGGCCAGAGCCCTGGAACAGGCTGCCCAGGGAGGGTGTGGAGTCCCCTTCTTTGGAGATTTTCAAGCCCTGCCTGGATGCTCCTGAGTAACATGCTCTGACAAGCTCTAGGCAATCCTGCTTCAGCAGGGGAGTTGGACTAGATGATCTCTATGGTCCCTTCCAACTCTAAAATTCAGTGAAATTCAGTGAAATAACTTCAAGGTAGCCCTCCCCGACCTGAGAAGGCACCATCTGACACCTACTTGGAGCCGTTGATCTGCACGTAGTCCTTGCTGCAGGTGCTCACGGGGGTGCCGGGTTCCAGCACAAAGAACATGTTGAAACGCACCTTCACGTTCTTTTTGGGGGGAACCTGCGAAAAAGGAAGCAGAGTCGTGTCAGGCTTCGACGCCTCCGGGCAGCATCTGCTGAGATGCTGCGTGGTCCTGCTCAACCAAGCTCGTTTGGCCGACTAACTAAAGCAGAGAGGACCCACCTCGATGTTCCAGACGCAGTCCATGGCCGGAGGGTAGTGCGCCGGGTAATAGGGAGTCGTGAAGGTGCCACTCTCTCCTCTCAGAGTCCCACCACAGACTAGAAGATAAGTAAGGAGATGGAAACGGGTTAGAGAGGTGGTTTCCCCCAACCTTATCATAGAATCATAGAATTGTCCAGGCCGGAAGGGACCTCCAAAGGCCATCTAGTCCGACCCCCCCGCAGTCAGCAGGGACCCCCCCAACTAGACCAGGGTGCCCAGGGCCTCGTCGAGCCTCTCCTTGAATATCTCCAGGGAAGGGGCCTCAACCACCTCCCTGGGCAACCTGTTCCAGTGCTCCACCACCCTCCCAGTGAAGAACCCTCTCCTCATCTCCAGTCTAAAGCTGTTCCCCTCCAGCTTGAAGCCATTGCCCCTCGTCCTGTCACTGCAGCCCTTTCTAAACAGGTTCTCCCCAGCCTTCCTGTAGGCCCCTTCAGGTACTGGGAGGCTGCTGTAAGGTCTCCCCGGAGCCTCCTCTTCTCCAGGCTGAACAACCCCAGCTCCCTCAGCCTGTCCTCGGAGCAGAGGTGCTCCATCCCCCTGATCATCCTTGTGGCCCTCCTCTGGACCCTCTCCATCAGGTCCATGTCCTTCTTCTATTGAGGGCTCCAGACCTGCACACAACACTCCAGGTGAGGTCTCACCAGAGCAGAGTAAAACCTTAGCAGGCTATCGCCCCAGGCAGGATGGAGGGCAGGCACAAGAGCCTCTAACAAGGTTAAGTCTATCTCTGCTCTGCTCCAAAGCTTGGAGAGAACCCAGGAGATCAATTAGGTGGTTCCTGCACACACTGATCTGCATCTCTAATCCCACATAATTCGTATTTTGACCTCCTCAAGGGACATCATTACAGCAGCCAAGAGCAGGGTGAGCAAGGCAAGCTCCAGGAGCCAAGATCTGACCTGGTTCCAGGTCTCCTGGGCCTGGAAACATCCCTGGCAACTGACCACAGCCAGAGCCATGGGTCCCTCTTCAGTTGCCCACAGCCAGGAGAGGTGGGGGGAACTGGGCCAAGGCCTCTGCTCACCTTTCATCTTGGGGAGCTGGAAGAACTCAGCCTTAAAGCCGGGGAATCTCCCCTCCTTGTTGGTAACCAACGTGACCAGCATGACGTTCTGGGAGGAGATGAAGGTGAGGTTGTAGGAAGGGGCGTAATTCCCACAGAGCCTGGGAAGGAAAGGACCAAATCCATTAGAGACAACTCCAAGGAGAGCCTCAAGAAACACAGACAAACCTCTGAGCAGGGACAGGAGCTCAAGGTACCAGTAGGACTTGTCACCCTGTCACCTCGGTGCCCTACAGACACCCGATGGAGATGCTCACCTGTCCAAAGTGTGGGGCTCCACGGGGCTCAGCGAGTCGTACACCTTGATGTAGTCGCCGTCGTCCGTGCACTGCTCCAGCTCCAGAGTCTTGAAGGTCAGGCTGATGACAGAGCCAGCATCTGCCCTCAGGGCCCAGTAGCAGAGGGCGTTGTTGGGGTAGGGGCTGTTGGGGAAGCCCGGCGTGGTGAAACTGGTGACCTCCCCTTCCTTGGCGTGGAGGGCAAACATGCAGCTCTCTGCCCAGGAGAGCAAGGAAGAGTTAGTAAAACAAAGGAGGAGGTTCTGCCCTGGCCTTCCCCCTGAGATGATTCCTCCCCCATCCACAGGTTGTCCCCTGATCCCAAGATGAAGAGTGTGGCACTTGTAATTCCTCCCCCCCCCACAGGTTGTCCCCTGAGGAGAACCTCTTTTGTGGAGCACCCTTGACTATCAAACTCCATCTACAAAGCGAGGCACTTTGAAGGACACCCAGGGCCACCAACTGCTGCCTTGTGCCCCACTCTTGGTGACCCCAAACCAGCACTTGTAATTCCTCCCCCATCCACAGGTTGTCCCCTGAGGAGAACCTCTTTTGAGGAGCACCCTTGACTACCAAACTCCATCTACAAAGTGAGGCACTTAGAAGGACACCCAGGGCCACCAGCTGCTGCCTTGTGCCTCACTCTTGGTGACCCCAAACCAGCACTTGTAATTCCTCCCCCATCCACAGGTTGTCCCCTGAGCAGAACCTCTTTTGAGGAGCACCCTTGACTACCAAACTCCATCTACAAAGTGAGGCACTTAGAAGGACACCCAGGGCCACCAGCTGCTGCCTTGTGCCTCACTCTTGGTGACCCCAAACCAGCACTTGTAATTCCTTCCCCATCCACAGGTTGTCCCCTGAGCAGAACCTCTTCTGTGGAGCACCCTTGACTATCAAACTCCATCTACAAAGCGAGGCACTTTGAAGGACACTCTTGGTGACCCCAAACCAGCTCCAAGAAGGACACGGAGGTCCTGCCTTGCACACAGAGGTCCTCTCTATTGAAGGACACCGAGGGCCACCAACTACTGTCTTGTGCCCCAAACAAGCTCCAAGAAGGACATGAAGGTCCTGCCTTGCACACAGAGGTCCTCTCTTCAGGCCCTTTCCCACCTGGCAAGGGAAATCACCCCCACAAAGAGGTGTGGGACACAGGGAGGTTGTTCTGAGGCTGAAGAAGACCTGTACTTACGGTTCCGAGTGGAGTATGCGATGCTGGGGTCGGCAGCTGCAGGAGAAAACAAGAGGTGGTGTCACCCTTTGGGCTGTGGACAGTCCCTGGGCACAAAGCTGGGGTGGTCCCTGGGACCTGCACTGGTTTGGCTTTGCTTGTGGGGTCTCTTTTTGGGGGGAGTCTGCTCCCTGGGCCCCCAGGGAACCAAGTGATGAAGGGAGGATTCACCCCATCCCTCCCCAGGTGGGCTCAGAGGAGACCACAGAGCGTTCCAGCCAAGGGGAGCAAGTCTGCACGGGGCCATCAAAGCCATGGGTGAAAGCCAGGTCCTCACACCCAACCTCAGAGCCATCCCTGAGGGCTGTGGTGGACAGCTGACCCCTCCCCATGGAAATGTCCCCCCACAACCTCCTCCAAGTCCCACGCAGAGGCCCAGGGACGGCGGGGCCAGCACTCACGGAAAGCGACGACCGACTCCACCTTCAGCATGGGGTTTCGAAGGCGGGGGTTCAACCTCTGGACCAGGCTCTGCTTGTCTGCCATGGCCCTGTCCAGGCTCTCCTCCCGGTACTTGGGGACAACAAACTCCGACCAGTAGTAGGCGATGACGCTGCCTTCGCTGCAGGGGAAGGACAAGTGTGGGGTGAGAAGGAGGACACAAAAAGGAAGGCTCAAGAAGGGTCCAAGCGACTTGATAAGCCATCTTTTGGAGGAGTCTCAGTGACAAATTAACAAATTAAACAAACTACACCCAGCAAAAGTCCCCCACCAGCCCGGGGAGTCCCTTTCAGAGCTGCCAGGCACCACCCACCGTGGTTCATGGTGCTCCAACCCTCCCAGACCTGGAGACTTCCCCAAGACATCTCCCTCAGCACACAGTGGTAGAAAACAATACGTGTTTTCAGGTCTTTTTTCACTGCCCACCCATCACTGTGTCGCTCAGGGTGGCTCATGAGGTGCCTCCACCCCCAGCAGCCCACCAGGAATGAGGGTCCATCCCTGTGGGACATCCCAGCATTGCCCTCCTCCACCCCCAGACAGGGCTTGGATGGCATCTGAGACTGACCTGAACGCAGTGATCGCTGTCTCCTTGTGATACGGGCCGATATCTGGATGGTTCTTGTAGATCTCCTCCACCTGGAAGGTTTAGAGAAGGGTGTTCAGCCTGTCTAGAAGTGAGGAGGAGGGAAAGGCTAAAGACAGACAGAGCTTCAAGGCTGCTATGGAAAAGGACCTATCCAAAAGGACCTGGACAGGCTGGAGAGGTGGGCCCAGGTGAACCTCATGAGGTTCAACAAGAGCAAATGCAAGGTTCTGCACCTGGGCCAGAACAATCCTCACCATCAGCACAGACTGGGGGGTGAGGTGTTAGAAAGCAGCCCTGAGGAAAGGGACTTGGGGGTGCTGGTGGAGGAGAAGCTGGACATGAGCAGGCAGTGGGCACTTGCAGCCCAGAAGGCCAATCCCATCCTGGGCTGCATCAAAAGCTGCGTTGCCAGCAGGTCCAGAGAGGGGATTCTGCCACTTGACTCTGCTCTGGTGAGACCTCACCTGGAGTATTGTGTGCAGGTCTGGAGCCCTCAATATGAGAAGGATATAGACCTGATGGAGAGGGTCCAGAGGAGGGCCACAAGGATGATCAGGGGGATGGAGCACCTCTGCTCCGAGGACAGGCTGAGGGAGCTGGGGTTGTTCAGCCTGGAGAAGAGGAGGCTCCGGGGAGACCTAATAGCAGCCTTCCAGTACCTGAGGGGGGGCTACAGGAAGGCTGGGGAGAACCTGTTTAGAAAGGCCTGCAGTGACAGGACGAGGGGCAATGGCTTCAAGCTGGAGGGGAACAGATTTAGACTGGAGATGAGGAGAGGGTTCTTCACTGGGAGGGTGGTGGAGCACTGGAACAGGTTGCCCAGGGAGGTGGTTGAGGCCCCTTCCCTGGAGATATTCAAGGAGAGGCTCGATGAGGCCCTGGGCAACCTGGTCTAGTTGGGGGTGTCCCTGCTGACTGCGGGGGGGTGGGACTAGATGGCCTTTGGAGGTCCCTTCCGGCCTGGGCAACTCTATGAGTCTATGATTCTATAAAATCAGGGCACATACCCATCATCCCTGCCCACACTGGGCCAAGGAGAAGGAGAGCTGAGGGTCCCAGAAGTAACCAGACCTGCACACCCCAAAGCCTGCTCTGACTTTTTCTTGGGGGAAACACAACGAATACCCGAGTCTGAAGGCAAAGGGAAGACCAGCCATGGCTTCAGCACAAAGGGCAGACACACTCCTGCCTCAGCTCCCAGCCCTGACTCATCCACCAGCCCCGGGGTTCGCCTCTGATGGCCCACACTGGGTGGCAAAGGCAAGGAGACACCACGGTACTGGGATGGAGCCCTGATACCAGTTTAAAAGCAGGTCCCCAGCGTGTCACAGCGAGCGGGGAGAGCTGAGAAGGAGGGAGAAAGCTCCAAGCAGTCTGGCACGTGAGAGGAAAAAGCCCTGCTCGCAGGAGGGAAACCTCTTACCGTGCTCTTCACCTTCTTGGCCAGCATGATGAAGTCTGCAGAGTTGGAGTTCTCATAAGCGTCGATGAAATCCCAGTTGAGAACCCTCAAGTGGCCATTGAAAATCTTCCGGACGGGCGCGTTCCTGTCTGGAAGGTGTCAGAGAAAGGGCAGTCAGGACTTGGGACCATGGCACAGAAGGTCCCCAGTGACTGGGATTAGGTCAGGAAGGTGGAAAAGGTGTCCCCCTCCACTGCCTTCTGGAGGCCTTCAGGCCCACCGCACCCCTGGAGCCTTCCCAGAGCTAGAGAGGGGCCAGGGGATAATGAAGCTTTTCTTGGTGGACGTGCTTCCAAGGTATTGCCCTACACACCACCACCCATCAGGTACCCTACACACCACCACCACCCATCAGGTGCCACACTCACATTTGAAGTGCCAAACCAGGAGGCCGGTGACGAGGGAGAGGAGCAGGAAAACAACGATCACGACAGCGACCACCACCCGCCGCTTCGGGCCATGCTTCTCCATCTTCTTGGAGTTCATGGCAGGGAGGAACTCCACCCCTTCCTCCAGATTGTTCATGTCCTGGGAGGGGAGAGAGGGCAGGATGGTGGAAAGGCCACTCAAAAGAAGGGTGGCCAGCAGGATGAGGGGGGGATTCTGCCCCTCTGGCTTCGCTCTGGGGAGACCCCCTCGCCCCCAGTGCTGCCTCCAGCCCTGGGGCCACTTGGCTTCGCTCTGGGGAGAACCCTTCGCCCCCAATGCTGCCTCCAGCTCTGGGGACACCAACAGCAGAAGGAACATGGAGCTGTTGGAGTGGGAGCAGAGGAGGCCACAGAGATGCTGAGAGGGCTGGAGGACAGGCTGAGAGAGTTGGGGGGTTCAGCCTGGAGAAGAGAAGGCTCCAGGGAGACCTTGGAGCCCCTTCCAGTCCCTCAAGGGGCTCCAGGAAAGCTGGGGAGGGACTCTGGATCAGGGAGGGGAGCCATAGGAGGAGGGGGAAGGGTTGGACACTGAAAGAGGGGAGATGGAGATGAGATGTGGGGAAGAACTTCTTTGGTGTGAGGGTGGGGAGAGCCTGGCCCAGGTTGCCCCAAGAAGCTGTGGCTGCCCCATCCCTGGAGGGGTTCAAGGGCAGGTTGGAGGGGGCTTGGAGCAACCTGGTGTGGTGGGAGGTGTCCCTGCCCAGGGCAGGGGGTGGAACTGGATAGTATTTAAGGTCGCTTCCACCCCAAACCATTCTGTGACTCCATGGTTTGTAGAGGTCCCACCACGAAGCCCTCTAGAGCAGAGCTATTTCTCCCCATCACCGAGATCACAAGCCCGTGCCTCAGCCTCAGTGGCTCCACAGGACAAAGCCTGAAGGCATTTGCTTTGATTTTCCACACACACCTAATTCCAAAGGGACCCAACGGAGGGTGACCAGCTCAAGTCAAACCCAGGGGTGAGTCTTCAAAAACCCTGTGACCACGGCAGGTCACGAGCCCATGGCCTCCAGGATCTGAGCCTGCCGGCAGATGAAGCTACAGGCAAAAAATTTGCCCCTTCAAAGGTCTGGCTGTGGCAGGTGTGTCACCCACAGCCCGTGGGGCACAGCAGGCTATAAATAGCATTCCTGTAAAAGAATAAAAGCCAGCTAACTTCCTCCCTTTCCGCTCGCACGACTCTCTGTGTGTCAGACAACAACACAAGGCCCTGGTAGCTCTGCTGGGCATCACCCACGCGGGGCAAAACACCCCTGAAATGAAATAAAGCACAAAAATACTCAGATGAACACAAGGCATCCCTGCAGCCAGACTCTGGGGACAAGATGTGGTGGCTGATGAAGAGTGGGAACCCCCCAGGAGCTGCTGGAGTGATGAAGAGGAAGGTCTCCACCGCGCTGCAAACCCCGGGCTCACCCAGCCCTCCCTCCTCGCCCCGCTGGCCTACCTGCACCTCCAGCCCTGGACCAAAACAGCTGCAGATCCAGATGTTTTCAGAGGATGCCACATAACCCCCAGCATCCTCGGTAGGGGCGGATTTGGAGGCCCAGATCTGCAATCACTAGCCCAGCACTTCCTCCCCTCCCAGGAGAGCAGGCCGCACCTTCTGCTTTCTCCTCCTGCCTCCCCTCCAGTAGGAAACTGCTACCAACTGCCCAAACCGTGAGGATGCCTCATTTTTCTGGGCACCACCTCCCTGTTTTTCCCACTTTTCCAGAGCCTTAGGGGGCAGCTGGCAGCTTCCTGGGCAGCGGGTGACAGCGGGGACGCCGCCACACAAAGCGCTGACCCACACAAATCACATTCAAAGGCATTTCATCCCCAGGTCAGATGCTGCTCATCCCTCTCTCAGCCCAGGGATGACACAAACTCACACTAAAGGCTCGGGTATTTTTGGTGCAAATCTCACAAGTCCCTAAAAACCTGAGAAAAAACAACCAGCAAAGGGGACCCTGTTGATCTGCTGGAAAGCCCAGCTCCCACTCGCATCATTCTCCACCCCCCATTTGCCCTTTTTTTCACCCAATCTCTCTCCTCCAACCCTCCCCGCCTCCCCAAAGCCTCTCCTCCCTGCGGTATTCGCCCCAGGCCTCTTACAAAAGAAAGGGACGTGGCAGGCACCTTACCCTACATTTTTGTAAATTTAATCCTCTGCAAACACTTTCTAGAAGGTCACCAAGACCTGAGCAACCTGCCAGGTATTCACACCCTCTGCTCTCAGAGTAACCTGATATTGGGAGCCACAATCCTAGGGGGGAAAACCTTGAAAACACAACCCAAGGCAACTTCAAAACTCAAGTTTCCAAACCCAAAGAAACTTGAGAACAGAACACAAAATAAAGCTGAAATACAGGCAGTCTAAATCGAGAAACTCTTCAATCCAAGTGAAGATTGCCCGCAGTTGGATGCACCCCTCTTCAAAACCGCCATCTGGCTCCCATCAGTTTCCCAAACCATGCAAGAAATACCCCCAAAACCAGGCAACGAGAAGAAAACAGGTCACAAATCTCACAAGCATCTTCCCTTCTCCCACCCAGGGGCTCCTTCCAGCCCCAAAGCCTCCCCAGGATTTCTTTTAGCGGAAAAGAAAAAAGTATTTAATTCTCTTCTAACATCTGCAGGAGCCTGCGGTGAGAAAACAACCTCAGGGGCTTAAATGATAAATCTGTTCACTCAGCAGCAGCTTTTTGGGGGTCAGTGAGGAAGAACCACCCGCCCCTGGCTTCATGGGGGGAAGACGGCGTCTCTAAGTGTTCTGACTGGCAATTTTTGGGCCCAAGCTGTTAAAATTTGGGTCTGAACAACACGCTCCCCCCGGGCAGGCTGAATTCGACCAACTGGCATTTTTTCCCTGAAAGAGGGAACGTGAGCTTTTGGCACGAGAGATGTAAAAGAGCACAATGAAATCAGATTTCCCTAAAGAAAACCCCTGTTTTTCAAACAGCGTGCCCTTTGGCTGAGGGAACCTTCAGCCTCCTGCAAAATTCCCCAAATTTCACCCCCAAAAAAAAAGGCCAGATGCACAACCGTCAGCTCCAGAGTGGATGCATCTCAACACCTTCTCCCAGATAAAGGTTGAGCCTTCACAACTCAGGGTTGCAGCCCTGAGGGATGTGCTCTGGGCAACCCTGCTTTGGCAGGGGAGCTGGACTGGATGATCTCTAGAAGGTCCCTTCCAACTCTGATGATTCCACGATGGGAGCAACTAATCAGTGTGATTAAATCAGGAGGAGAACAGGGCTCCCCTCTGCCTCCAAAAGAGGCTGGATCCAAAGAGGTTTCCCTCCCTGCCCTCTGTCTTGCACCCCGGATCTCACCCTCTCCCACCCTCACCATACCTTAGGTCCTCCATGGTGCCCACCAGCAGCTGGGACACCCTGGAGAAGCTGCTCTGAAGCTCCGTCCTGATTCCTGCAAACTCTCTTCTCGGCACAAGGCAGAGGATCTGAAGCATCCCAGGGGAATGCTGAATCAGGCCGGGAGCCCAGACGAGGTCGCGTGTCCCCAGCCTCTGAGTAAGAGGCTGGATCTTCTCCTGCCCACACTCAGCACGAGAAGCACTCGTTTGACCTTCGTCTCGGAGGTGTCCGTGCCCAAAGAGAGCACGGCGCAGCCGCCGCTTCCCCTCCCTCCCTCCCTCTGCCACACGTCCCCTCCGTCTGTGGCCACCAGGACAAACATCTCCTCTTGCTGGTCACCACCCTCCACGCCGGGCAGAAACCAGATGGGATCACAGAATCCCAGAATCTTCTAGGTTGGAAGGGACCTTCAAGATCATCTTGTCCAACCGTCAACCTCACTGACAAAAATAGACACCCACACAACAAACAAGGAGCATCATCACTAAACCAGACCTCCCAGCACTACATCAACCCGTCTTTTGAACACCTCCAGGGATGGGGCCTCCACCACCTCCCTGGGCAGCCCATTCCAATGGCTGAGAACCCTTTCAGTGAAAAAATTGTTCCTAATATCCAGCCTGAACCTCCCCTGGCGCAACTTGAGGCCATTTCCTCTCGTCCTGTCGCCTGTGACTTGAGAAAAGAGACCGACCCCCACCTCTCTACACCCTCCTTTCAGGGAGTTGGAGAGAGCAAGAAGGTCTCCCCTCAGCCTCCTCTTCTCCAGGCTGAATAACCCCAGCTCCCTCAGCCTCTCCTCATAAGACTTATTCTCCAGACCCCTCACCAGCTTTGTCGCCCTTCTCTGGACCCGCTCCAGCACCTCAATGTCTTTTTTATGGTAGGGGGCCCCAAACTGGCCACAAAAGCAAGACAGGCTCGAAAGATGGTAGAGAAACCACAAGTCAAAAGACAACAAGGCTTTTGCTCCCCGTTAGCTAACGGCTGGAACCTGTCCCTCCCCACGGCAGAGGTAAAACCAGAGGATCTGAAAGCACCTCCTGCTCTCACCTTCTCCATGATTCCCCGACAAACAATCTCTAGCCCCAAGTGACTCAAGGTCTGACTCTCTCGCCCTCCTCGAGGAAACTACTCCAGCAAACGTTACTGACAAAAATAATAATAATAAAAAAACAAACCACCCTCCCCTTGATACTCTCCCCGCCTTAGTCACAGGTTCAGTTACTTCCTCCTGCTCCTCCTCGCTCAGCCCTTCATCGTCACCGTGGGGCTCCCCAGGGCCAGATGGGAGGTTTCTGGTCACGGCAGAAAAGCCACCTGCCAACCAAGTGAAAGGGGATGAAAGATGGAAAGATGTCACCCCATTGCTTCTGTGCCTCAGTTTCCCCTGGAATACACACTCCACGGGGAAACCTGGCGAAGGAGGGGGCAGGGATAGACAGAGACAGAACTCGGAGGTCTTCTCCTGCACCCAACTCCTCCGTGCAGAGCTTGGGGAAGTCCTCCCGAGAGCGCGTAAGCAAACCCTCCCGCTCCTCCTCCTCCTCCCCAAACCAGCCGCACGATGTATTTTTAGACGTCAACCGTGCTCTGCCAGACTGGCCAAACCAGATGGAGAAGTGACTAATTCCCTCAGCAGGAAATCATCAGCAGGGGCACGGGCACGGTGGGAACTGTCCCAGTCAACTCTGGACTGGAGGTGCTTACAGAATCACAGAATCACAGAATCTTCTAGGTT